TAAAGGAAAAGCTTTCAGCTTTTCACTGTTATCTATGATATTGGCTGTGGGTTTGTCATATATGGCCTTTATTATATTGAGGTATGTACCCTTTTTACCATTTTGTTGACTTTTTATCAAGAATGGATGTTGAATTTTGTCAAATGCTTTTTCAGCGACTATTGAGATAATTATGTGATTTTTGTCCTTTTTGTTCATGTGGTATACAATATTGATTGAATTTCAAATATTGTACCATCTTTGCATCCCTGGAATAAATCCCACTTGGTCCTGATGGATGTTCTTTTTGATGTATTTTTGAATTTGGTTTGCTGATATTTTGTTGAGTATTTTTGCATTTATGTTCATCAGGGATATTGGTCTGTAATTTCCTTTTTTTGTAGTGTCTTTGCCTGGTTTTGGTATTAGAGTGATGCTGGCCTCATAGTTTGGAAGTATTCCCTCTTCTTCTACTCTTTGGAAAACTTTAAGGAGGATGGGTATTAGATCTTCACTAAATGTTTGATAAAATTCAGTAGTGAAGCCATCTGGTCCAGGAATTTTGTTCTTAGGTAGTTTTTTGATTACCAGTTCAATTTTGTTGCTGGTAATTGGTCTGTTCAGATTTTCTGTTTCTTCCTGAGTTAGTCTTGGAAGATTATATTTTTCTAGAGAGTTGTCCATTTCTTCTAGGTTGTCCAATTTGTTGGCATGTAATTTTTCATAGTATTCTCTAATAATTTTTTGTATTTCCATGGTATCCATTGTGATTTTTTTTCTTTTTCGTTTCTGATTCTGTTTATGTGTGTAGACACTTCTTTTTTTCTTGATAAGTCTGGCTATTTTGTTTATTTTCTCAAAGAATCAGCTCTTGGTTTCATTGATTCTTTCTATTGTTTTATTCTTCTCAATTTTATTTATTTCTGGTCTGATCTTTGTTATGTCCCTCCTTCTACTGACTTTGGACCTTGTTCTTTTTTTCTACTTTCACTAATTGTGAGTTTAGACTGTTCGTTTGGGAATTGTTTTTGTTTCCTGAGGTAACCCTGTATTTCTATATACTTTCCTCTTTTAACTGCCTTCACTGAATACCACAGGTTTTGGGCTGTTCAGTTGTTTTCATTTTTCTGTATATATTGCTTGATCTCTATTTTTATTTGGTCATTAATCCATTGATTATTTAGGAGCATGTTGTTAAGCCTCCATGTGTTTGCAGGCTTTTTGTTTTCATTGCGTAATTTATTTCTAGTTTCATGCCTTTGTGGTCTGAGAAGCTGGTTGGCACAATTTCAATCTTTTTGAATTTATTAGGTTCTTTTTATGGCCTAGTATGTGATCTATTCTGGAAAACATTATCCGTGTGCCCTTGAAAGGAATGTATATCCTGCTGCTTTGGGTAGAGTTTTCTGTAGATGTCTATTAGGTCCATTTGTTCTAATGTGTTGTTCAGTGCCTCTGTGTTCTTACTTATTTCCTGTCTGGCTGATCTGTCTTTTGGTGTGAGTGGTGTTTTGAAGTCTCCTAAAATGAATGCGCTGCATTCTGTTTCCACCTCTAATTCTGTTAGTATTTGTTTCACATATTTAAGTGTTCCTATGTTGGGTGCATAGGTATTTATAATGGTTATATCCTCTTTTTGGATTGACCCCTTTATCATTATATAATGTCCTTCTTTGTCTCTTGTTACTTTCTTTGTTTTGAAATCTTTTGTCTGATATAAGTACTGCAACTCTTGCTTTTTTCTTCCTAGTTTTTGCATGAAATATCTTTTTCCATCCCTTCACTTTTAGTCTGTGTATGTCTTTGGGTTTGAAATGAATCTCCTGTAGATGGCATATAGATGGGTCTTGTTTTTTTTGTCCACTCTGTAACTCTATGTGTTTTGATTGGTGCATTCAGTCCGTTTACATTTAGGGTGATTATCGATAGATATGTACTTATTGCCATTGTAGACTTAAGATATGTGGTTACCAAAAGATCAAATATAGCTTCCTTTCTATCTGACAGTCTATCTTAAGTTGCTTATTACTCTATTTCAAACACAGTCTAAAGATTCTTTTCTTTTTTTTTCTTCCCTTCTTCTTTTTCCTCCTCCTGTAGTTAGTTATCCCTTGACTAACTTTTTGAGTAGTTGATTTAATTTCATATTTACTTAATTTAATGAGTAATTAATTGGTCTACTAGCTTTATTGTTGGTTTATGATGTCTGGTGACAGTTATTTAGCCTTAGGGGCATTTCCATCTAGAGCAGTCCCATTAAGAGATCCTGTAGTAATGGTTTAATGTTGATGAGTTCCCTCAACTTTGCTTATCTGGAAATTGTTTAATCCCTGCTTCCAATTTAAATGATAATCTTGCTGGGCAGAGTATTCTTGGTTGGAGGCCCTTGTGTTTCAGTACATTAAATGTATCTTGCCACTCCCTTCTGGCCTGTAAGGTTTCTGCTGAGAAATCTGGTGATAGCCTGATGGGCTTTCCTTTATTCGTGATCTTTTCTCTCCCTCTGGCTGCTTTCGGTGCTCACTCCTTGTCCTTGATCTTTGCCATTTTAATTATTTTATGTTTTGGTGTTGTCTTCCTAGGGTTCCTTTTGTTGGGTGATCTTTTTTCTTCCATGACCTGAGTGACTATTTCCTTCCTAAGACTGGGGAAGTTTTCACAATTATTTCCTCAAGAAGACTTTCTATCCCTTTTTCTCTCTCTTCTTCTTCTGTTACTCCTATAGTGCAAATATTGTTTTGTTTGGATTCATCATACAGCTCTCTATTTTTTCATTCCTATATATCGTTTTTTCTCTCTCTTCCTCAGCTTCTTTGTTTTGCTTTTCTCTAATTTCTATTTCATTTACCATGTCCTCTACATCATCTAATCTGCTTTTAAATCCCTCTATTGTATATTTCATTTAAGATACTGTATTCTTCAACTTTAAGATCCTTTTTTTGAGTATATTTCTATCTGTTGAAGTCCGCCCTGAGATCTTGAATACTTTCCTGGAAACCCATGAACATGTTTATAACTTTTATTTTGAAATCTTTATTGAGAAGATTGGGGATTTCAGTTTCACAAAGCCCTCTTTCTGGTGTTTTCTTTTTTTTTTTGGACCACATTCCTCTGCCTCTTCATTTTTTTTTTTTCCTAGTGTTTCTTATGGGATAATAGATTTTTGTAGGGGGTGCCCCCTAATGCCCAGGGCTCAATTTCTTGTGTGGGAACCGCAGTTGTTGGTGTGCAGAGGGTGTGGCAACTTTCTGCCTTGAATTATGTTATCTTTATTTAGAGAGTATCTTTTTATCTCCTATTAGGAGCATTGGCTTACAAGCCATTCTAGTATCACCTTAAGCCAATTGTAAGTTGGGGTTTTCTGCCACTCAGATAACACACAGCTAAGTTGCAGCCCTTGTGAGGGCTGCTTTACTTTTAGTACTCTAAATAGCAAGTCATTGGTCCCAATTCAAAGTGCCATGTTGTTTATTTGAGCCCCTACATTTTGTGGGCCATTACTTCTAACTTTTGTTCCCCTCCCTCCTTGAAGCTGCCAAAAGTCTTCTTAATTCTTAGCCTTTCCGCAGTTTCTTCTAAATAAACAAATCTCTCCAGAGCAAAAGCAGTTCTGAATGCCTGGCTTCTCTTACAGAATTTGCAACTTCTGGACCTTGGCTTGGTAGATCTTAACTGTCTTGTTACTTATAAGATGCTTTAAAGAATACAATTTGTTCCGTAGCTTTTTAATTTATCTTCAGTAGAGAGTTTGTCTGAATTACCTAGTTTGGTATTTTTGGAAGTCAAAAATCAGGACAAATTGTTTAACCTGTTATTTAAACTGTGCTTTGGTTTTCTTATCTGTAATCTGGGATTAATAATTATGATCTCATAGGGTTTTTGAGATTTTTTAATGAGGTAACACATTGCACACTTGTAGTAGTTCCTGACATGTAGAAAATGCTCAATTTTTTATTACATTTGGAGAACACTGGAGTTTGTTGTTCTTCAAAAACTTTTCCAAACATGAATCAACCCCTTTATTACCCATAGTAATTTGCAGGGATTATGAAAGACTTACAAATAGCATTCTTGTTTACTCACCTTTCTGTCATCCCTGATTTGGGTGAATGAAACTTTTTTCCTAATGTTCTTTAGACTCCATACAATAAAGAAAATTTAATTTTATCTAAAACTAGGTAATGACCCTGATATCTGTATATAATATAATATGTGAACATATGAAGACTGACAACCCCGAATGCGTGTGTTGTGTGCATCTGTTTTTGTAAATATATAAAGGCTAAATGGGAAGATATTTTAATTATTTAAATTATGGTCATTTATTAATAAAATGACTGGGCTGAAGCTAAAGAGAAGAAAATGAAGTAGAACTGGGATCTTGTTTTAAGTATTTTTAAGTCCTAAAAATCTTAAGTTTCGGTTTAAAATAGAAGATAAATGTAAAAACCTTTGATTTGCCCTATTTTTAAATTTGATTGAGTTCTCAGACTAGGTATAAAGCAGATGAAAGAAAATTATAAAAGAAAACAGGCTGATCTTAATAAAATCTGGTGACAGCTACCTTAGCAGCCCTGGTGCATGAAAGACCAGTATGTCTAACACTGTAATTCCAAAAGTGCCAGGTGCATGTAATGTCCCTCTATTCCGCGGATCTGCATCTTTCACGGTGCATTTGATCCTCCTCCTTTTGCTCCCATATTATTTTTTTGTAGAGGAAATTTAACCTATTTTGCATCAGTATGAAACACATCAATACAATGTTCAATATTTTTGTGTGCTTTTCCACTATGTAAAATGAAGCAGTCATACTATATCAAGGTTTAAAGAAGTCCAACAGGAATTTCTTTTGAGATGTAGAGAGATATATGGCAATTTGAAAATTTTCCTAAGTAGTAAATAAGTTCTCCTTTCTGGAAATTGCTACAATTCCTTTGGTTTAATGTCTTTTTAATTTTTTAATGCTACTATATGTCTTAAACTTACTTTAAGGTAATTGCTTTCATGATTTTGTTTTTTAGGTTAACAGAACCTTCTGGATATTTAACAGATGGTCCAATTAATTACAAGTATAAAACTAAATGTACATGGCTAATTGAAGGCTAGTAAGTATACAATTTGGGTTAAATTATTTTATTCTGAAATGGTAAAGAAAGGGATTATATCAGTGTTTAAGTGTTGAAGAATAATAACTTTATAGTTACATGGTTTAGTTATTATTGGGTAATAATTACTCAAGTGTTATTGGAAAATATATTTTTTATGGGTTTTACAATGTTTAGATATGTTAATATAAATTACAGTACCCTCACTTGTAATAATAGCTTAATTTCTACATACATTTCACTTCTGAGTGTGACTTTAAACAAGTAGGCATTATTGGCTTGTTTTGAACGTCTTGTTATGAAATTTGAAGACTTTACAGAAGGTATAAAAATAATCTGTGATGAATTATGCCATTGTTTCATAGTATTCTAAGGGTGCTAAAAAAAGAACATTTTGTAGAAGAGAGAGTTAATTATCCTTTCAGAGGTATTTTCAGTAATTAGAGCTTGAGACTGAATTTATCTCTTTAAACATTGTTAATAGATCATACATGAATTGACACGAATTATTTTTGGATCATTTAATGATTTTGGAAAGTTGTTATTTTAAATGTTTTTTAGAACTTTAGGTGTATTAATTCTCTGTACACCTATGCTCTTATTTTGTTTATTTGTTAGTGGCATATCTTACTGAGACCTTTTCATTAAAATTTGAAGACCTAGTTAGGGTCTCTAGAGTTGTGCAGAAATCTGGATAGTTGCTTCTTGAGTGTGAACTTTAAAAATCAACTTGATTCAATACAATTTGCAAACAATAAAATGCACCCACCCATAGGTTTCAGTAATGCATATAAATTATGTAACCTCTGCCTTAATAAAGATATAGAATATTTTCTGCTGACTAAATTTTTAGAAAATGATGATACATATGTATGCCTGCTAATATATTTTGAAGTTGCATATCATTTTTATAAATCAGATATGATTGTATATCAGTCTTTTTCACTAGTGACTTAAGGATTTATAGAAAAATTATCCAAACATAGGTTTTAATAAAGTACTCAATCTAAAATTTCTTTAGACTATGCTTTGTATATTATACATTCATTTAAAAATATTTTAATTTTTTTTCAGTCCAAATGCAGTGTTAAGATTAAGATTCAATCATTTTGCTACAGAATGTAGCTGGGATCATATGTATGTTTATGATGGAGATTCAATATATGCACCTTTAATAGCTGTGCTTAGGTGAGTAATAATGTTTAATTGATGAGCTTATAGTCAGTTGTAGAAGTAACTATATAGAATTTATTATTTTAAATATATGCTGATCTTTACCTTAAAATAAATTTAGCAGATATATTGATGGCTAAATTTCAAAGATGGTTATAATAATATGTTGCATACTATAACTGTCAACTTATATATATATCATAATGTAAAGGTTGATATAGCAAAGATAAGTATTGTATCAGAAATATAGATTTATTAATAAATATCCATTATTCTTGCTGTATGTAGTGTATTCTTCTAAAGTGACCTGGGTGTGTTTTCAGAGGTACCTGTTTGTATAGATTAATGTGGGTCTAGCTGACAAAGAAATAGACAATGATTTATATTTTTATAGTTATCTTTTTAGTAAAATGATGAAATTTTAAATTCTATAAAAAAAGGTTAAGTTAGGCTTTATGTAATGGTTTAATAAAGAAGGTGTTTCTGTCGGTTTCCAAAAACTGGAAATTTTTCTTGCTCCAAAATATTTATTGCTAGTTGTCAGGTTGTCAAACTTAATTTTAAAATTATAGCATTTCAGTATCAGTTTATAAAGATCTTTGCAGTATATATATGTACAAATTATAAAAAAATATTATATGAATAGGAGAGATATATTAGACAGAAGAAAAATTATGAACACCATTTAGTGTAGATTTTGTATACAGTTTAACTAGGGTTACTCACTTTGTCATTCCTTACTTTTGTTATTTACACAGTATCTCTCATATGTTCTGTTATTGCTCATATTTAACTACAGGTAAAAGCTTTTACTATTCCTTTCAAAATTTTTAATTTTTTCTTTTTACCATTTATGTTGCAAATACTCTGTTTACCAGGAATGTGAACCATGATTTTTTTGGACAAACATGTAAGGAGTTGTATTTCCGTAAGAGTATTTCAGAGTGACTCCTTGGGAACCTAGACACTTATTCTGTGATATTGCTATCACACAAAATATTTTTAGAACTTCATTTTTGAGTTGTTTGAAAATTATATAAAAGTAGCCCTGAGTAGCCCCTCATCTAAGAATAGATAGAAAATGGAGTAAGGTCTTGTGAATAATTACATTGTAAGATAATTCATTAAAAGAATTAGGTAGAATCTTGGGTTCACACATTTATTTTTAGCAATTTAGATATCACTGCTATCATTACTCTATTTTTTATGACACTGTTAATTGACCATCTTTTAGATGTGTGCCTTTTCCTTAATTTTTCTCATAGTTGTAATGTCTTTCCATTAATGGTGATCCATTAACATCTTACCAACCTTTCTTGATGCTAAATGAAACTCGTGTAAGATAATTAGCAGGATGGGATTTAGTATAGGACTGTGAAGGTGGAACCAGTGGCTTTACATTAGCAAGTGTTCCTGTTAGCTGTCCTGAGGGAAATGGAAAGTCATGTTTATCAAATATCCACTTGATGCTAATTACTGTGCCAGGCAGTTTAAACGTCGGCTTATCCTCACAAGGATCTTGTGGAAGAAGTGATATGAGGCCCATTTTACAGTGCATAAAACTGAGGCTCAATTTTCAGAGAAGTTAAGTTTTACTTCTAATAGATGGTAGAGTCAGGATTTGGACTTGACAATATTCTGACTTAAAAGGCTATACTGTTTTTTTTTATTAAGGTGTCATTGATATATGATCTTATGAAGGTGTCACATGAGCAACATTGTGGTTACTATATTCCCCCATATTATCAAGTCCCCCACGCACCCCATTGCAGTCACTGTCCATCAGCGTAGTAAGATGCTATAGAGTCACTACTTGTCTTCACCATGCTATACTGCCTAAAAGGCTATACTGTTTTACTTCACTTTGCTAAGAATCCACAATCTAAATGTTTGAATTATTCCAGTTGTATAAGTACTTATTATTCAACAAACATTTGATAACCTACTCAATTCTGGAGACTCTCATAAACCAGGAGGATGTTGTAAGGGATAAGACACAGGTCATTACAACGTCCTCAGATACCAACTACGTGGAGTGGGGCCAAGTTTCACAGGTCAAGTGCCCAGCACTCCATAAGACTGTCCTTAGTTCAGATACCAGCTGAAAGTTCAGGGGTCTGCAGGTCACCTGCACTTCTGACCATCTGGCTACAAATTTAGGGGTGCCCACTACCCACTTAGATTCAATAATTTGCTAAAATTACTCACAGAACTTAGGAAAGCACTATAGTTAAAATTACACATTTATTATAAAGGATAAAAATCAGGGCCTGCCCAATGAAGCGACACAGAGTGAGGTCAGGGAGGATCTCAAACAAAATTTATGTGTCCAGGATGTGTTAGCCTCCCGGCACGTAAGTGTATCTCACCATCCAGGAAGCTCACCAGAGCTGCAGGTGTGCAGAGTTGTTACTGGGGTCTCATTGTTTTGGTGTGGTTGATTGAACCATTGGCCACAAGGTAAAGCTCAATCTTTATCCCCCCCTTTCCTCTCTGGGAGTCAGAATGATTTCTTATGGCTTAAAGCCACATCCCTTCAGTCCCATGGTTGGTATTTCTGGTATGGCCAGTTCCCATCCTGAGTCATCTCATTATTTATCTAGGGGCTTACCACGAGTCTTCTCATCAGCGTAAACTATCAGGACCTGCCTTGAGTAACAGAGACACTCCTGTCACTTGGGAAATTCCAAGTAGTTTGGAGGCTGCCTCACTACACAGTAATTAGGCAGGTGGTGGCATGTGAACAGACTTTTTTTTTTTACACAGCACAGTAAGTTATACGGTTCTGAGAAGAGAGCTATCTGATTTCAGTAACTAATTCTTGATGAATTTCATCACAAGTAGAAGAGTGATAGGCAACAAGTAGAAGAGTGATAGGGCCAAATAGGACATTCTTGATGAAAAAAACGTATGTAAAGGCACAGACACATTAAAGAGCATAATACTTTTGGGATACTAGTAAGTAGTTATGAGTAACTTGATCCTAGAAAGTGTGAAGGGATAGATAACTAGATCACCTAATAAACCTTAATCACTAGTGTCTACTGAATGCTCCTTATAATGCCAGGCAGTGTGTAAGAGTTCTTTATATATATCAGCTCATTTATCCTTACTACAACCCTTTAGTTAGGCATTATTACCATTTTATACGTGGAGAGTTCAGGCACAGACAGATTCTGTGAGTGGCCCAAAGTTGCCTGCCTAACAAGTGACAGAGTCAGAATACTAGTTCAGGTTTTACAATCCCTTCCCTAATCCCTGTAGTATTGCTTTCTTATATACCACACCAAAGAAACAGGCTTTGTTCTAACAGTAGGCAAAACTTTAAAAAATGTGGAGATGGATTGGAATGGGGAAGTGTTTTTTTTTATTGTGTGCTGGACAAATGTGTGTTGATCATCATGTTTGTAAAATCATATGTAGTAATGACTTGAGGCCTGAAAAGATGTTATATTCTCACAGAGAGTGGGTGGGGACACTAGCAATCCACAGTCAAGTGAATCTGATTTCAGGTATTGAGGTGATTCACACCCAAGATGCAGTGTAATTCCCTGGAAGGCCTGTGTTTTACTGGTTTACTTTGACCCCTAGCCTTTGGGATCCTAGGTCAAAGTGAGAGCCCGGGGTGCCATGTTTTGTTTTCCTAGCTCTGTAAAATTACATAGTTTCTTAGCCCTTGAAACCTTACTTGCAACTTTGAAATCAACAAATGCCTATAAGGAGAAATGGCCGCAGTGCCTATAGGCTTATCCCCGTCTTAGCTCTCTAGTACCTTTAAGCTGATATTTTGTTTTTATGTAATTTGTCATTTTTCTAGTTGATTTCAGTGGGTCTGTTGTTTTTAAGCATCTTTTACAATGCTTAAAAACAAACAACCAAGCAAACAAATGTGTTCTTTTTATTTGTTTCAGAGATATTAACTGTATGTACTATGAAGACCTGGGAATATTATTTTTTAGCAATGTAACTCATCTCAATATAATCTCACTACAATGAAAAATATATATGTATAGCTAAGACTGGTATTGTAGAAATTGAATTCTTTTGACAATCTCTTCAAATAATTGTTTCTTCACAAATGTGAGTTAGTAAATGTAGTAATTATGAAAGCATCAAGAGTTGATTACTTTTTAATTTGCTTTTGAGACTGTAAAACATTGTTTCAGTATAATATTTCATTTTGTTCTGTCAAATATGATTTGAATGAGGGAATTCAGTTCCTGGTGGTGCCTCAACATAAGTTTAACAGTGTCTAAAGGAATTAACTACTTTGAGTGATGTAATTTGTCGTTAGCAGCTTCTTTTCTTACTCCTATTGCATGTTTCCACAGATTGAGAGAGAGTGCTATGGTGTAGGTGAAGATGTGTGCCCCTGCCCACGAAAAAGTAGGCTTAAAAAGGAGCAGTACCAGTTCCTGACTTAGAACCCTTGCTTTTCCACATTTATATTTTTCCCCTACAAAGTTATTTGTTTTCTTTTTTGTGCATAGAGCTTAAGTGAGTAATACTGTCTTTTGGAATAGTTCTATGTTAATATATTTGTGTAAGTATACACAACTTCACAGAAATGTAAAAAGAATATATCTTTAGATGATCTAAAGCAGATTAGTGTATTGGAGGTGTACAATTTTAACTAGGAAGTCACTGAACCGCTTAGCTGTGTGGAATGTTCCTTCTAGCTTCATCAGAATTTGCAACCAGTGGGAAAAAGTAGGGCTTTAAGGTTACTTGGTAGAGTACTCAGGTGGCTTGAAGCAAAGGTTTATATATGAGATAAATTAAAAACCACCCTATATATTATGACAAGGATGGATAGCAGAACCAAAGGGAGAAATGGGACATTGCAGGACAAAAGGTGAGAAGGAAAAAAAAGGCATGTGGTGGCATAAGAGCAGATGTCAGTCTGTTGGCAGCAAGAGAATAGAGCTGATGGGGCGAGAAACAGAACTCAGGTTAGATTTATTCTAATTCCCCTTTCTAATATAGATACTTAGTGATTCCGACAAATATTTTTGAGTAAATTTTATGTGATTAACAGTTATATGTATATTAATATACATAATATTCAATTTTGCTCTTTTACAGTGGCTTGATAGTCCCTGAAATAAGGGGAAATGAAACTGTGCCTGAAGTTGTCACAACATCTGGCTATGCACTGTTACACTTTTTTAGTGATGCTGCATATAATTTAACTGGTTTCAACATTTTTTATTCGTAAGTATTTTTTTAAATTTCATATTGTAATGATTCTTATAATTTGGCTTAGAAATGTTATATATGAAGAACAGGCTAGTGTTTTAAATTTCAAAATACACAGATCTCTTTAAGTGACATAAAAATCTTAATACTATATCTCAAAATACTGTCTAGGCAGTATTAGGATAATTTCTAAGTTTTAGAGCATTAAAGTAGCAATGTAAGTTTGGTTGAAAATTAATTATGATATTATTAGTCATTGAATCAACTAAGGCAAATAAATATAATTGAATTTGCATTGAGGGTAACAGGGTATGGAGTAAAGAATTGAAGTCACATTGTGAAATGGTGTTAAATGAAGTACATTAAACACAAAATAAAAATTGTAAAGTTAACAAAATAACCAAATTTCTTTTTCAGTTATCCTGAATTTGAATACATATGAATTATATCTTACAGAATCAATTCTTGTCCTAACAATTGCTCTGGTCATGGGAAGTGTACAACTAGTATGTCTGTTCCAAACCAAGTATATTGTGAATGTGATAAATACTGGAAGGGTGAAGCTTGTGACATTCCTTACTGTAAAGCCAACTGTGGAAGTCCGGATCATGGTTACTGCGACCTCACCGGAGAAAAACTGTGTGTCTGCAATGACAGCTGGCAAGGTAAGCATGTGTGGGATGATGGCTTTGAAACACTGATTCATGCACCTAATAAATAAATACAAATTCTACACTCATTTATTTGCTGTGGTTTACACACCAAAATCTCATGTATTTGTTTTGTTTTTAGAATATACAGATTAATAATCGACTTCGTAATGGTTTGTTTTTTCACAAATAGAATAAGTGAAGGTTTTGTCTATATGCTATTTTGAGAATAAGTGAAATTCTCTATGAAGCTCTTTTTAAATTGTAGGTGTGTGATCAATAGGATCTCCTGTAATTTTTTGTTGAGTCCCTAAAGATTTGATGATGTGACTGAATTTAACATGTGGTGCATTCAATTTTGGTTTATAATGGATCACATAAATAGTGTATTGCAAAATAGATGCTTATCTTACAGTATATTAAAATCATTTCTTAGGAAAGACTGACCTCTTGTGGCTATTTTTAAAAGAACAGAATAGTTTAGTAAAAAGTATTTCAGCTGCTTATTGAAAAAGTAAGATTCCTGGGGAAGAATTTCTAAACGACTTTATAAATATCTATCATTAAATTTAATTTTAGACTACATTGAAGAGTTTTACTTAAGTATTTTCATATAAAATCATAAATTTTGTTATTGTGAAATGAAATGAAGAAGTGCACTTAGTTGTCCATATACTTACCCATCTAGAGCGTAAGTTTATGCTAAGTATACTTGCACATTGAGAATTTACTATGTGCCAGCATATTAATCCTGTTGATTAGAGGTAACTTTGACTCAAATAAATATTCCAACGTCACATGATTGTGTATTATTATAATACAGTGTAGCAATAGTAGGGATAGTTCCTATCAGAACGAAGTAAAAACCAAAAAGTATGTGATCTTTATTTTACAAATGTATGTATTGTGAAGATGTGTGCCCCTGCCCACGAAAAAGTAGGCTTAAAAAGGAGCAGTACCAGTTCCTGACTTAGAACCCTTGCTTTTCCACATTTATATTTTTCCCCTACAAAGTTATTTGTTTTCTTTTTTGTGCATAGAGCTTAAGTGAGTAATACTGTCTTTTGGAATAGTTCTATGTTAATATATTTGTGTAAGTATACACAACTTCACAGAAATGTAAAAAGAATATATCTTTAGATGACCTAAAGCAGATTAGTGTATTGGAGGTGTACAATTTTAACTAGAAAGTCACTGAACCGCTTAGCTGTGCGGAATGTTCCTTCTAGCTTCATCAGAATTTGCAACCAGTGGGAAAAAGTAGGGCTTTAAGGTTACTTGGTAGAGTACTCAGGTGGCTTGAAGCAAAGGTTTATATATGAGATAAATTAAAAACCACCCTATATATTATGACAAGGATGGATAGCAGAACCAAAGGGAGAAATGGGACATTGCAGGACAAAAGGTGAGAAGGAAAAAAAAGGCATGTGGTGGCATAAGAGCAGATGTCAGTCTGTTGGCAGCAAGAGAATAGAGCTGATGGGGCGAGAAACAGAACTCAGGTTAGATTTATTCTAATTCCCCTTTCTAATATAGATACTTAGTGATTCCGACAAATATTTTTGAGTAAATTTTATGTGATTAACAGTTATATGTATATTAATATACATAATATTCAATTTTGCTCTTTTACAGTGGCTTGATAGTCCCTGAAATAAGGGGAAATGAAACTGTGCCTGAAGTTGTCACAACATCTGGCTATGCACTGTTACACTTTTTTAGTGATGCTGCATATAATTTAACTGGTTTCAACATTTTTTATTCGTAAGTATTTTTTTAAATTTCATATTGTAATGATTCTTATAATTTGGCTTAGAAATGTTATATATGAAGAACAGGCTAGTGTTTTAAATTTCAAAATACACAGATCTCTTTAAGTGACATAAAAATCTTAATACTATATCTCAAAATACTGTCTAAGCAGTATTAGGATAATTTCTAAGTTTTAGAGCATTAAAGTAGCAAGGTAAGTTTGGTTGAAAATTAATTATGATATTATTAGTCATTGAATCAACTAAGGCAAATAAATATAATTGAATTTGCATTGAGGGTAACAGGGTATGGAGTAAAGAATTGAAGTCACATTGTGAAATGGTGTTAAATGAAGTACATTAAACACAAAATAAAAATTGCAAAGTTAACAAAATAACCAAATTTCTTTTTCAGTTATCCTGAATTTGAATACATATGAATTATATCTTACAGAATCAATTCTTGTCCTAACAATTGCTCTGGTCATGGGAAGTGTACAACTAGTATGTCTGTTCCAAACCAAGTATATTGTGAATGTGATAAATACTGGAAGGGTGAAGCTTGTGACATTCCTTACTGTAAAGCCAACTGTGGAAGTCCGGATCATGGTTACTGCGACCTCACCGGAGAAAAACTGTGTGTCTGCAATGACAGCTGGCAAGGTAAGCATGTGTGGGATGATGGCTTTGAAACACTGATTCATGCACCTAATAAATAAATAACAAATTCTACACTCATTTATTTGCTGTGGTTTACACACCAAAATCTCATGTATTTGTTTTGTTTTTAGAATATACAGATTAATAATCGACTTCGTAATGGTTTGTTTCTTCACAAATAGAATAAGTGAAGGTTTTGTCTGTATGCTATTTTGAGAATAAGTGAAGTTCTCTATGAAGCTCTTTTTAAATTGTAGGTGTGTGATCAATAGGATCTCCTGTAATTTTTTGTTGAGTCCCTAAAGATTTGATGATTTGACTGAATTTAACATGTGGTGCATTCAATTTTGGTTTATAATGGATCACATAAATAGTGTATTGCAAAATAGATGCTTATCTTACAGTATATTAAAATCATTTCTTAGGAAAGACTGACCTCTTGTGGCTATTTTTAAAAGAACAGAGTAGTTTAGTAAAAAGTATTTCAGCTGCTTATTGAAAAAGTAAGATTCCTGGGGAAGAATTTCTAAACGACTTTATAAATATCTATCATTAAATTTAATTTTAGACTACATTGAAGAGTTTTACTTAAGTATTTTCATATAAAATCATAAATTTTGTTATTGTGAAATGAAATGAAGAAGTGCACTTAGTTGTCCATATACTTACCCATCTAGAGCGTAAGTTTATGCTAAGTATACTTGCACATTGAGAATTTACTATGTGCCAGCATATTAATCCTGTTGATTAGAGGTAACTTTGACTCAAATAAATATTCCAACGTCACATGATTGTGTATTATTATAATACAGTGTAGCAATAGTAGGGATAGTTCTATCAGAACGAAGTAAAAACCAAAAAGTATGTGATCTTTATTTTACAAATGTATGTATTCATCATTCTTGAGATGACTTTTTTCACAAAAGTTACTGATTATGCTGAATATTTATTTACAGGAATTATTTTCGGCTTTATACAAATTATGCCCATTTTAAACCCATGTTATTTCATTAAAAAAGTCAGTTACCCCAACCACACAAGATACCAGTGATATCTTATTGAATTTAATTTGATTACCTGTAAAGGGTTATGACAGATACAGATTTCTCAATATTCTTTAATTATAGGGGCATATATTTTATTTAATTGTTTTTTAAAATAATTTGTGATCTTTCTTCCCTTAAAAAGTGCCTTGAGGTTTCAGGTCTTAAAACTAAACTCAGTCTTGAAAGTAAAATAATGTCCTTTTCTATGCAAATAATGGTACATATAGAATAAACTTAAATTAAGGCTTGAGAAATAGAATATAGTTTATATACAGTGTTTTTCAAACTAGTTTTCAACTGCTATTAGTCTCCATCTCATTTCAATAGTCTTAGAAGCAAAACAGGAATATATTTTTATAATATTCTCTATGAACACCTCTGTCCTCTTTTTTGTTCTTTACTTCCTTCTGTTATCTCTTTTTTTTCTAAGTGATTATCCTTTACAGAGGGGTTACAAAGGGAAGGAAGAGGGGCTTTTAGTTTCTGTTTTTTCCCACTTATGTTTTGTCTCATATTTTACAAAAAAATGCACAAAACTTAGTGTACAGCTTGATGAATTTTGACATGTGTTTGCACTCATGTAACCATCACCCAGATCAAGATATCTAACATTCTGACTACTGGTTTTTCCTCTTAACCTATTTCACCCATCCTCCCACTCTCTTCCCTCTGGGTAACCACAGTCTGTTCTCTGTGTCTATGAGTCTGTTTCAGTTTTGCTTCTTCATTTGTTTTGTTTTTTAGATTCCACAAATAGGTGAAATCATATGGTGTTTGTCTTTCTCTTTTGACTATTTCACTTAGCGTAATACCCTCTGGGTCAGCCCATGTTACTGCAAATGTCTAGATTTCATTTTTTATGGCTGAATAATAGTCCTTCTTTGAAATGCTTTATTTCCTGGAGGTTTGTAATATAGATGTGGTTCAAATTATCTTTTTTTTCCTGGCTTTTATTTATCGGCCTTTCGCATTCTGTTATTTTCATCAATAGTGCCTGTAATTACAAAAATTCATGACTCTTACATGTTTATAAGCAAATGGAAATCATAATTTTTTGTTGACTCCCTGAAGATTTGATGATTTGACTGAATTTAACACGTGGTGCATTCAAATTTCATTTATAATGGATCACATGAATAGTATATTGCAAAATAGATGCTTATCTTATGTGTTCACTTTTAAAGAAAAGTGATAATATGAAGTTATATATACACACACATTATATAAATATATATATACTTTTTAAATAAATTAGAAGATGTTATACAGAAATTAGACATATTTTAATACCATTTTTAATTCTTAATAGTTAAAAATTGATCTCTTAATTGATGTGAATGTTTTAAGGGTAGCATGCTTGGTGAATGAGATATTGTGCTTCTTTTAAGAGGTGCTGTGCAGGTGGGTGCCTTTGAGCTTCACACTTGATCCCTGATCCTATATTTAAGGGAAACATAGCTTAAAGTAGGTGGGATTATGAAGAAAGTTAGGGGGAAAATGTTTTTATCTCAGATATATAGAATGGGGAGGAATCATTCAGGGAGAAAAAGATGGATTT